GCTTCTTGTGCAGATGCTTCGACGATGTCTGGGCATTTAATTAGAATTTAATTTTTGGATGGTGACTAGCAGTGGAATCCAGGATGCGCATTTCGTCCTATTTGGGACTGGGAAACGAAGGTACACCCAGTGACGAGTCCCAAATAGGACGAAACGCGCATCCTGGATTCCACTGCTAGTCACCATCCAAAAATTAAATTCAAAATAACTAGTGTTGCGAATTAGTTAGGATATCATTAACGATGCATATTGTGTAAGGGCTTAATGACAGTTTCAAGTTACCAAGTCTGATGTAGATGGAGAGTCATTCTAACCCAGGAGTTATTGGCTGAAAAGTCAGTTATTTTTTTTACTATTCCCTTGGATTCTGAGTGGACGGGGAGGCGGCTTCAACAGCACATCTCCATTTCTCTCTATTCTCTATAGTCCTTTTTTAGATGGCTCCACGTGTACCCATAGGCTGTCACCTCCTGATTACACGATCTCTTCCTTGTCACCCTTGGACCGACCAACTCCCAACTCGCTGTTTACCATTTGCGTTCCATTTGAGAGTTTGCCTGGTGCCTGATGTCGTACTAAAATCTCTTCAGCATGTGTCCTATCCATCTCCATTTTTATCTGCATATTTGTTGGGTAATAAGTTCTTGATTGGTTTGTTCCCATGGTTTCTTATTTCTGATTCTTTCTGGTTGGCTATCTGATCTTCAGTATGCAGCCAGTAAAGGCAGCTGTTGACGAAAGTTCACAACCTGCTAGAAATCTTTTTGGTGACTTGCCAAATTTCTGAACTGTATAAAAGAATTGACTTAACATTTGTGTTGAAAGTCCGGATTTCGCGCTTTATTTTAAATACAGCAGATTTCCAAACTGATTTAATAGGATTTCTATGTTGTCTATAGAAAACTTCCTTCTCTTGATGTGAGTTGTTGGCTGATGCGTAGAATTGGGTAGTTGTAACTTTCCTTTATTGTTAGTTGAGTTGAACCTCGCTGTCATGAACCCTAGAGTAGATTGGTTCCCACTTCATGAGTCGCTTCGATGCTATTGGTGACACCATGCTCGTGGTCGTCGTCTCTATGACTGGAGTGAATTATTGACTATGCAGTTAACGATTTTAGGGAGTCCACTTTCATTCCATCTGTTCGCACAGATTCCTGATACTTCTATAGCGTATCTCTTAATTTCTTTTGCGTTATCCGTTCTTGAATTGAAAAGTTCTCCTTGATTTGAGGTTTGATGAATACGATAATTCTCCCTGTGTTTTGAATTTTCAGTGGCTATGAGTTTGCCTTTTACGGCATGGTATCACTAGTGTCACTCCTGACCTCCCCTCTTTTTCCGAGCTGAATATTGGCTGTTAAACTAGGCGAGGTTGAACTAATACTTTGCAATATGTGCTACACACACTCTTTGTGAACGCCTAATCTTTTACTGTATTGTAGAATTCTTATTTAAAATGATTTTATCTACAAATAGGTAAATAAGACTATTTCTTTCGCGAATTAGATCAGTATAGCGCATAAACTCCTGGGTTTGGTTCCCGGTGGGTGCGTAATGATCGAGAGTCCCAAACCAGGACGAAACAGCTGTCCAGTACTCCAAGGGGTTCTGTAACTGATGTCAACTCATGATGAAATCCTGTAACCAATCAATCAAATCCCTGCAAACTAACACTTGAAACTCTTCTTCATTTCTTACTGTTTTAATAGACTGATCATGTTTTTTGGTTGCTACTACATGAAATTACTAATTGTGGTGAGGGGCGAGAAGACAGGAATACTCTGGATCGATAAGAAGACTCTATAAGATCTAGACTTCGGGGACGATTTATGTTGAATGTCACATAAACTTCGAGACTTATAGGCAGAAACCAACAAGTTAGCAACAGAAGTAACGAAGACAGAAATTCAAGTGAACATAGGACAGAGGTGATGAAGATACCTAACCAACGACAACAACAACAAGCACCAATCAATATCAACAGGAGAAATTTGAACAATATCACTTCTTTCGCTTATCTAGGTAGCATCGTTTCAATACAGGCACACAGCACGGATGAGGATGTCAAAGATAAGATTGGGAAAGCGAAACAGGCCTTCATTACTCTGAAATCAGTTTGGAAATCTCCTGCACTCAACACAAAAAACAAGACTGGCACTTTCATACTAATGTCAAGTCAATTCTTCTCTGTGGTTCAGAGACTTGGTTAGTCAAGGAAAACATTTCCAAGTTGCAGACTCTCATCAACATCTTCTACCTTCTCTGGCTCAGTACTGAAGATTAGATGGCCGGAAAGAATAAACAACATGGAACTTGAGGAAGAAACTAACCAAGAACCTATTACCAAATAAATATGCCTAAGTAAATGGATCGGACATACGCTGAGGAGATCGTTGAGTGACATGGTGCACCAGGCCATCGTTCGAGTGGAGTTGGGATTGAAAATGGCGAGTTGGTCATATGTTCGAGGGTGACATGGGAGAGATTGTGTGAGGAGAAGAAGGAGGTAACAACTTATGGGCTAAGTAGGACTGCAGAGAATAGGGCAAAATAGTGATGTACTGCTGAAGACCTATGTTCTACATGGAACCCAAAGATATAAATATAATGCATGAACTCACGTACTTTCTTATAATGCAAAGTAATTCTCTGAGGAAATGATTGAAAAATATTACAGAGGCTTGGATATAATTTCAGATGGAACAGGACAGTGTCACACAATATCCTACCGAAAACTAATTTACTTGAAGACGCTATACGAAGAATTGGTACTTCGCAAATTAAATACGCTGGGAATTCTCTGCTATGTGTTAACACATGGCCTAGAATAAAACTGTTATCACTACTACCACAGAAATATTTTTTTAGGAGGGAGTTGATTTTTCTTTGGTATTTCTACATAGGAAAACAAAAACAGCATATTAACTCTAGTCTTGACATGTTTTCTTTAAGTCGATTCCTGTTTGGTTGGTTGTTCTTTTGTTTAGTTTATCTCCCTTGACAGTTTGTTTGTTTATTTGTTACTGGTTTTCTTAAATGACTCGCCTCGTTCCGGTGAAGCCAATTTCGTTAAGTATGCTGACGATCTGATTGTTTCTATGCCTGGTACTGCTAAATCACGTTGTTCTAAGATGAATAGCTTTTTTATTAGAAATTGGTCTGTAATCCTTATCGAATGGTCTTAAATTAAATCCCTCCAAATGTCAAATTGTTAATCTCACTTTCAGACACAAGCATGATATACGTGAACTGTGAGTCGGTGGCACAGTGGTTAGGACTCTCGCCGACCATGCACATGGTCCAGGGTTCGATCCCCTACCGAAGCACACCCAATATCTATGGTCGGCCTGCAAAATTTGGGCTACCGATATCCATGCTGAAAATTCCATACTTGTACTGAAAATACGGTGTGGCATCAAGCTGCAATCAAAATAAAAATTAAAAATAATAAAATATCATAGATGATACTAAAGTGGGAACTAAGTCGATTGTTAAATACCTTGGATTATGTCTAGCCTTCTACAGTATCGTATAACTCAGTTTCTACTTCTACAGTTTCTATTCCTTGTATTCTACCCATTCTTCTTTATCCCCCCCCCCTCTTTAATCTTTCCTAGGTTACTTAAAGAAGCCTCTTTACACTACGAAAGACACTAAAATTTGTCGATAGGGCGAGTGGTGTGTCGCTAAGTTAATTTGTTAATATTATTGTAGACAGAAATTGTCAGACATCATCTTATCGGACTCTGAGGACTATCGATGCACAACTCTCCTCTTGCATATCATCATCAGGTAGGAATATAAGCAATTATAAAGGACTTTATGCTCGTATGACTAAGTATACTAACTCGAAGATACCTTATTTGCCAAGCATTTTATAGGATGAGAAAAGTTTTAGGCATGAAATTAGTATATAAACGGCCCATTTTATTCTTGCTGTCTCATTAATATATCGTTGTCACTACTTTGATATAAGAATAGAACTTGTGCACTTTGGTAAAGTATAATTCCATTATGGGTAAATTTATTTTGATAAAGTCTCACAGTGTTATACAGTAATATTTACTGATGACGACGTTTCGAGCACAATTTATTGCCGTTCATAATCATATCAAGGTATTCGCACAACTTTCTAACTTCGTCTATATAATTCCATTATTTTTCATCGCTTGACTTGATTGGTAGTAGTATTTTCCATATTTCTGGTGAGTGATGAGTTATTCCTATTGCAGGTGTTGGGTGTAGACTCGATGAATAAGGAATAAATAGTCAACCTCTCTCTTCACCTATCTATATTACTCTTTAGAATGCAGTGCAGTTGCTGAGCTTTTTTTAAAAATTACTTATCTTCTTGGGGTCAAGCGTTCTTACCTTAGCTAAATTCTTATGTCCCGACTATCTGACTACCCCCGGTCTACTATTTTGACCTATGTAGTTGATCTAACTCACAGTCGTTGCAAAGTATTTTGTAAATTATATTATATCAAAATAAATTTTACCCAAAATGGAGTTGTCACTACTTGAAACTTGTATTACTACAAATGTCCTGTCAATTATTTTTCCTCTTTCAACATAATTTTTTTTATTCCTTCACGTTCCCAGTGGAACATAGGGCTTCAAGTTAGAGGCTTGAAGTTTCTGTAGCAGAGTTTATTTTTAAAGGATGGGGTTGCTAGTCACATGCCCAATCTTCCCTCTTTACCAGTTTTTTTATTACTGGCTTAGCGAGGTGAAGGAGTGCGTCTGCAGGGTATCGAACCCCGGACCATGTGCATGGTCGGCTAGCGTCCTAATCACTGTGCCACCGGCGCACCTTTCAACATAATGTAAAGAGGGGATTAGATGCCATATCGCACTACTTACTGTGGATTCCACACTTTATCAACTGTGTACTGTTTATAATAGAGCCGGTATTATTATTATTATTATTAAAAAGTATATTTTTGCAAATAATCATATTGAATTTTCATTTCGACTTTTATTTTCTCTGGCATATTTAGCACACCTCCTGATCCAGGGATTACACAGATTCTAGCTCAGCTGTATGAAGCTTCGAAAAGACTACACGATGCATCGTCAAACACTAAAGATCCTGATACATTAGTTGTTCAACCGATTCCTCGATCGAATTCAAATGCTTATTCTAGAAGTGGTCAAAATAATCCTTTAAATGATCCACTTTCATCTAATCAATACATAGCACAGGATCAATGGCAAGGACCTAGCCAATCTAGAATGCATAATTCATATGAAACCGGTGGAAATTTTGGAATTGAGGTAGGTAGGCTTTACATGGTCTTGTAGACAACAATTTTCCTTTCATAACTAAACATTTATTCGTGTTAGAACATGTACATCATGTGCGCTCTAGCTTGACATTTGAAAAATACTCAGATGGCTTGTCAAAGAGTAAGCTTAATGTGTGCTAAAATTCGTTTTGTAATGAAATCTTTGACAAATACCTACTGAAAACAGATGACTGAAGAGTTTTTTTCTTTGGTTCTTAACAAAAATGTTTCCTTTTAGCATAATACCCTGAGTAGATGGTACACCGCTATCTCACTGTACGTAATCTCGAGGATAGGAATGAATTTCTCGATGACAAAAGCGATGATGTTTTCAATTTTTATCAAATAACTTGACTGATTTATTGAGCTACATTCATTCTTTTGAGAGAAAAAAAGCCAAATGTTAACTCACTAGAGAAACAGGGAAATAACTTAAGTGATCTGTCGGTGATGACATAATCGCCATTGGTGATTTGTAGGTTCGATACCTAATACTGATCACCGATTACTTCTGACCTCCAAAGTCCACACAAATGAAGATAGAATACAATACTGGTGAGCACAATTCAGTTGTACTATACAAAAGTACATTATATGCAAATATTACAGGCCTCGAAAAGTTAAGCTATCGAATAACCAATTATATCGGTTGCATGAGATCACGCTTCTAGGTTGTCCAGTTGCATCCTACGCCGACCCAGTAATTCAATCCTGTTTAAGCCCATTTTAGCTGGTCTCAGCCACCTCACACCACAGTGACGGACGCGTAAATTCAGTGGTTAGCTTTTTGCCAAACCTTTTTGTTGTAGATTGGCGTGTAATCAAATGAACAGTTGGCACCAAACAGATCAACCCTGAACAGAACACTGGAGTTAGTATAGACCCAATATTCATTAGTTTCTTTTGCACTATCTAATGGTCATTATTAAGGTAAAGGAAAGTATTTTTTGATTGGACAATAGTCATTAACTAATATAATGTGTGTGTCTAGTCTTATCTTTGGTGCAGACTGGATTCTATCAGTTAAGTTTGCAATGTGGCCAATACCAATAACGGTGGTTAATGCTCACATACCTATGGGGAGTTAGTTAAAGTAAGGAGTTGTTGTGACTAATAAATCACATTTCAGTAACACAAAAACTTCTAACATGTTCATCATGAAAGTTGAAGATAGTGAATACACAACTCCCATACTTGTTAGCAGTTGTATTATTATTATTGTCTCCTTTAATTCCTAGAGGAACATAGGGCTTCAGCCGTGCGTCTCCATTGCATTCGGTTCTCTGCTAGAGTCTTTACCTGGCTCCAAGTCTGTCCACACGTTTTCATCTCCTCTTCACATGACCTCCTCCAAGTCACCCTTGCACTGACGACCAACTCGCCACTTCCCTTTCGGATTCCACTCGAGGGCTTGTCTAGTGATGTCACTTGATGGTTTCCTCAGAGTATGGCCAATCCATCTCCATTTCTTCCTGCCTATTTGTTTCACAATCGGTTCCTGCTGTGTTGGTTCGCTCATCGCCAGAGATCTCTGTTGCTGATCTTTTCTGGCCATCTGATCTTGAGTATTGAGCGAAGACAACCGTTAATGAAGGTCTGTAGTTTGTTTGAAGTGCCCTTCATGACGCGCAGTGCAAGTCTCTGATCCGTATAGTAGCACTGACTTCACATTGGAGTTGAAAATCCGGATCTTATTTTTGACGCTGAATGCTGTTGACCTCCACACAGACTTGAGAGTAATGAAAGCTTGCCTTGCTTTCCCGATTCTTGCTTTGATATCCTCGTCAGTTCCGCCTGTAGTGGAAACGATGCTTCCAAGGTAGTTAAAAGAGGTTGTTTCTTTCTGGTTCCTCCCATTTATGCTGATTGTTGTCTGTTGTTGTTGCTGTTGGTGGTGTTGCCCAGGAATCTTCATTACCTCTGTTTTCTCTATGTCCACCTGAAGTCCTATCTTTGAGGCAGGTGTACACTGCCGATTATGGAATATATAAAAAATGTCGAACGAAATGTTATCCTTTATAGTGGTATAATTCTCAAGAAATTGACATGTTATATCCTTTAATTTATCCAAGCATAAAATACTATTGCAAGCTTGATAGAAGCCAGTATTTTTACTCAACCTCACCTTATTTTACCAGTTCATCAGTCTACTTACTACAGCTGGTCTTAAGAACAGAAAAAAAGGGAAGGTTGGGCGTGGGGCTAACGACCCAACTCAGGGAAATCAGTCCACTTCCTAAAGTTTCTTCAAAGCGCAAAAAAATTTGAAAAATAAGTTTATTCTTCTTTGGGTTCAGAGAGACAAAATGACATGGACTGGTGTGAAAGCTTTCAGGAAACCAGTCAAACGATGTATCTTCTTTCGATGGAAGCAAAACTTAGCATGTGGTAGACATGGAAACCGATAAGGTTACTCAGATTGCAAAAGAAATGAGCACGTATAGTACGGTAATGTTCGGAATCTGTGAGAGCAGAGGGAATGAAAGTGTATTCTCCAAATTGTCAATTGGTGAGTCAGTTGTTGACTCTGGTCACCCAAACGATAACCACAGCCACACTGAGGAATTGGCTACCATATAGTCGCCAACAGGATCAAGGGCTCTCATGCAGTAAGAACCAATCTCCTCCGGGATAATAAAAGGAAGATTCAACTTAAAAGGGTAAGATGGTTGCAATTATGCAATACCAGGCTCCTACAAAAAACGCAGACACAGATAAGAAAGAAAATTTCTTAATCAAACTGCAAGAATTAATAGACAAGATCCCAGTCATATGGGAACATCAAAATCCTTATGGGTGACATGATTGCTGAACTGAGAGTAGACGACACAGGAAAGTAACTCATCATGGGTCGAGAGGCTCTGTGTGAAATGTATGATAACGGAGAACTTGGCACATTTCTGCGCCTTCAACGAATTGGTGATTGAAGGCAGTGTACAAACACAAGGTGAGATGGATTTCACCTGAAACATTCACCAAAAATCAGATAGACTTCTTTTCAGTCTCAAGAAAGTGGAAACGCAGTCCACTGGACACAAAATCGAGGAGATGAGCAGATGTGGGCTCACACCACTATCTCCAGTGCAAGGAATCTTGAAGGTAAAGTTCCAAACCTTCAAAGAAACTGTAAATAGACGACAATTCTAGTTCAACACTCAGAGACTACAAGGGACACATTCACTGCAGCCAATCAGATCAAAGTGGGACACACTGTATACCATCACCGAAGAAGAATACCGGAACTCTCTGAAAGTCAGTGATATTGTAGGAAACCTGGATAGCCATCTTAGGAAGAAGGGAGAGACAAGGTAAGGAATGGCTCCCTAAGAACATATAAAAGCTAGTAAAGAAGGAAGGGGTAGTGAAACAGAAAATGAACCAGTGCATAGAGTAATAACGAGAAAAGAAACTTTGTTTAACTTACAGAGAAGTGAAAAAAATTCCAGGGGATAAAAAAGTACACTTACATCACACTGGTGACTCAAGCAGAAAGCAAGAGGGATCTCATAACAGTATACCACATAACCACGTCTCTTACTGTGATAAGATCAACACAGATGAAACCAGTGAAAGATAGTAAATGGAACATCATTTCTAAAGAGGAGAAGTAAGGGAAACAATTAGCTGATCACTTCAAAGGACTCTTGAACCGATCGCCACCTACACCTCGTCATTGAGCACTGGTCCTCTGCCAGAAACAGAAGCCATCGAGGTAATAAAATTACTAGAAGCCAGGAAAGCTTCAATACCATATGAAGTTCCTGCAGAAGCACTGGAAGCTGACCGATAGACTATATAATATATGCTCATGCCACTAATGCAGGAGGGCTGAAATGAAGGAATTCTACCTATCGATTGGAAAAGGGCGATTTAAACTTTTGCAAGAATTGTCGCGGAATCATGCTTCTGTTCACTCGACACAAAATGACAAGTCGCATCATCGTGGAAGGAATAAAAGATATTCTGGATGCAAGACTCCACGCTGTAACAAGCTGGATTCAGGAAGATTAAATCATGTGTGAATCAATTCGTAACACTATGCATCATCATTTAACTTAGCATAGAATGATAATCAAATGTCTACCTCATCCCTAGCGATTTTGTTAAGACCTTCGAGAGCGTTGACTATAAAGTAATATGGAAAGTGCTTCAACACACTACAGAGGGGTAATAATACCGCAAACCTTTATCAACCTCATTCAACAGCTATATCATGATGTCACAGGTCAAATGATTCACAAAAGAAAACTCAACTCCTTATTTCTTATTAATTGTGCAAAGTTAGTGGTGAGGTTGTTCAGGGATGGCTGCCAGTGGTTAGGACTCTCGCCGACCATGCACATGGTCCGGGGTTCGATCTCCTGCCGGCGCAAACCCGATATCTATGGTCGGCCTGAATTTGGGCTACCGATATCCATGCTGAAAATTCCACACTTGTACTGAAAATATGGTGTGGAATCAAGCTGTAAATCAAAATAAATAAAAAAAATAGTTGTTTAACTTCACCAGTAGTAGTTTATCCAACCTGCAGCACAATCTGGAAGATAGGAGAATAAAGGGAAAAAACACAAGATACCCTCATTCATTCCCTACTTTTAATACTATCATCATAAGGATGGGAGTAGATATTAAATAATAATTAAAAAAACTGAATACTATAAATTACTAGTACACACCTAAACCGTAAATATTATTGAAAGGAATATTAACAAGAAAAGTGTAGCAAAACACATTCATCAGAAAAAATGTAGGTTGCTTTGTTGTAAACTAAATCAGCTGAACTTTTGACGTAATAACTTTGAAGTTCTCCTTTACTCCGCCGAATATTAAACAGTAATGCGGCATTTAGGCTGGTAAAGCAAGGAGGATCAAATTTTCCGTATGAAATGATGTCATTTTATGCGATAAGTAGGTGCTTTCTCTATTCATTGAAATTTTTTCGAGGAAACTATATGTGTATATACCATTTCAATTCAAAAATAATTGTAAAATAAATTTTGAAGGTTTACAAACAGTTGTAAGACTTTTCTATCTTGTAATTTTACTATTTATGTTACTCGAATATCATTCATATCTTACAGTAACTAACAGAGTTAGGTTAGAAAAGAGTTAGCGGTTGTCGTAACAAAATATCGCACCAGCCTAATGAAGTCTTTAACAGTTGGCTTAATCCACGTAGGGGTGCGTCGACTGCCCAGTCGGGGATCGGAAGATACTAAGAACTGATGTCTGGATAAGGCTCAATGGCACAGATGCATTCACTCTTTGCAATCTCCTATATCCACTATATCTTCATGTCTTTCCAAGAAACTGTTCTCTGTCTCGCACATTTCTACTCATTATGCTTCTTTTGAATTTCTATTGTCTACTATTGTGTGCTACATGGAGTGTAGCGACTTGAACTGCTGCACTTCTCCTGTGCAATGTTGTATATTGAAACTCGATAAGTCAGTCATCCATAAAGTGACAGTACTTATGTGATGAGCGAAAACATACCGGAGGAAGGCTAATTACACAGAGAAAAATGAAGACCTAATGGATCTAGGAGACTACAGTCATATTGTGGAGTGTGCTACCGATAGGATTTGTCAGTAGTATATGAAGAGACGTTCGTCAGCAGAATAACATCAGTTAGCGGGGAGACAGATTTGACGTCAAAGAGAGCCAATGAACAAGTGCTGCGGTAAAACATGGAAAACACGAAAAGAAGACAAAGAAACACTACGAAGGGTACGAAAGATCCATGCAAATGACGATTTTAAGATAAGGTGTACATAATATCGCTATATAGAGATACCAAATAATCATTGCTTGTCTTCTGCTGTTACAATATCATCAAACGTTTCAAGACATTGAGTCTTAGCATCATGACATTCCCAACCAGGCATTCTACACCTCTCCACACGGTTCAAACCAACTGTCAAAGACTTCATGGACTGATATCAGGTTTTGTTTTAACCTAATGACTGACTGGTTTCAACGTAGAACTTTGCACCGGTGTGCAGAGGCTCGAGTTGCCACACTGCCACATTGTAGCACACAAAGCAAGAGAAGAAAGTAAAAAGAAATGAAAAACAGAGACAGCAAGCAGAGATATGAAGCAAACAGAATAGTAATAACGAAGAAGAATATAGTTTTATTGGAAATAATAAGTTACAAGGAGTGGAGTGCATCTGCGCCATTGAGAACGATTTTGAGCCATATCACCGATTTTCCCCAGCCTTCATTGGTTTTTACTGTCACGAGGACCTCAACCAGGAAGTCTACACCTTCCTACGTGACTGGCTTAAACTAACTGTTGTGGATTTCATTGACTGATGAAGCCATGTTTTCGTTTGACCACCACTAGATCTTTCCCAATCTGACCCAATGTCATCTAACATTGCCCGTCGACGAAGGCGATGGCTAGACTAGGCATGCGTAATATATCCTAACCATTTCAGTCGACGTAACTTCATAGCATCATCGATTAATTTCCCCTCCTTACCTAGCACTCGACCGAAGCCTAACCTCAATATTGCTCACTCTATTATACCACTTTACATGGGAGATATAATGCTCGCACACCTATGATCAAAGAAAGCTAACCTTTTCGTGTCTTCCACTCTCAATGGCCAGGTCTCACAGCCATAGAGGAGGACGGAGCGGACTGCTGAGCAGTACACACGTCCTTTGGTCGACAGGCAGTCGGATATCACGTCTACACTAGAGGTGGCGTAAACTGGCATATGCGAAACTAGCCTTCTGTGTCCATGCTGGGATGTCGTCAGCGATCAACCCACTGGTAACGGCTGATGCAACTTCCCAAATAAGTGAAGTGGTCAACGTGCTTTACCACTTTACTTCCTATTTCTAAGCTAGGAGTCAATGTAGTCCAGTCCTGTAGCATCATCCTGCATTTGGCGGGAGCGAATGGCATGCCAAACATTCGCAGATTGCAGCTGAATGTGTTCAGAAGACTGCATTTTGTCGGCGTCTTCACCTAGACGGACTTTATCATCTGCATATTCTAAGTCAACGAGATTATTCCCTGGTAACAAGTCAATCCTTGAATCTCTGAAGTGAGTTAGGGTTAATTTCATCAGTACATCTATGATGAAATTAAATAGAAATAGGGGTAGTGGACATCCCCGACGGACACCACTGGTTGTTACCACTTCAGATGACAACTCTTCCTCCGTAGTCTCCTACCTGGCTGCATGAGTTCGAGTAGAGTGCCATGATCAGTGTGACGTATTTTCTCGGCATTCCCTTCACAGCCAAGCATCGCCATAGTAACCCCCGGTCGACGGAATCGAATACCGCCTTTAGGTCAAGAAATATTTCGACTGTTGGACGCTGGTAAATATGCCTATGTTCCATAATCTGTCGAAGGGCGAAGATATGATCCGTACACCCTGTTCCTGGTCTAAAGCCTGCCTGGTTCTTTCGTGTTTGTGCCTCCCGACATTGTCCTCAAGGAAGGTGATAGCTCGACATGCTTAGCACATGTCCTAACCTGGATTATGTTGGTTTGATTCTCGAATAACATTTCTGGCAACTAAATGTCTCGTGAATTCCGTTATTTTTAATTCGGTCTTCAAATGAATCCTTTGTTGGATTTTATTATTTTATCTACTTGATAAAATTGTATCGACGGTCTATAAGTGCTTCCTTTTCGCTTATTAGTTTTCAAATGAAGTTTGTGTAAGTCGCTATTCACATTTCTATTTATATATCCTATATTTACTTTATGTTACAGAGTGGAAGTGGTAATCAACCCAACACTTTACAGTATCCAGGAGAACCACTGACTCAAAATTTTGAGCAATCATCTAATCAGTTTAATAATATGTTCCCAGGAGATCCGCATAGTAATAATGATCCTCGTTTGTACAATTCGGCTTTGGATCGTGATAACAAGAAGACTAACGTCGCTTCTAACCGATATTCTAATCAAAAACCTACACAACAATGGCCTGAAAAACCATCCACAGCATATAGTAATAGTAATAATTGGGATAATACTGGAATTGGAAGAAATAATTGGGAGTCAAGTGGATCGACAGATCTAAATATACCCATTTTTCAGGAACTGACAACTCAAAGTGAAATTATTACTACCTCAGTAACTGTGCCGCAGACAACAACTGTAGCAACAACTCTATCGGTTGTCACTCCTACCACTGTTTCACAATCTACAACTACACGACCGGCTTCAACATTAACTCCTGCACATGAAGCAAGAGGCATATCGACTACTGAAACGAACAATTTTGTTACTGAAACTGTAACAGTACATACACCAGCTGTTGTATCTACTACTTCTACATTAGATAAGCGTCCTTCCAGTACAGTATATAACACAGAAGCAACCCTAAAATCTAGTACTTTTACAGATTCATTGTTATCATCTACTGATCGGTCGAATAAATTCGGCTACTTACCAGATGATGAAGATAACACACAAGTAGCCTACCAGACTCCTAACCCACAGAATACCAACTCTTGGCATCAACCTGACAGAATTCCACAAGCACCTTTCCAAGAGGTAAGTAGAATTTAGATTGTACAACTAACAACACGAACTCTGGATATTTTTCTTGATAATTTGCTTAAGCTATTATGATACATTTAAGATTAGGACACTGAAAATACCATTGGCGCTTGTTGCATTGACGTCTAGTTTGTCATTTCAAGTATTGATCCCTCGCCTAAAACCCCTTGGCGCTTCAATCACTGTGTCACAGCTTTAATGTACTTAAGATTTTTTTAGTATTATAAGCAATAAGCTACTGATCTAATATATACTGATCCAATTGGCTAAGAAAAAGATGGTTATTCTGTAACAAATTCTACAACTAATCCCAATAATTTACTAACATTTACAGGGTTCTGGAGAACAAGGCAGTGGTGACACATCAGTCTATGTACCGCAGTATCAAGGAACAAAACCACTATGGCCATCATCTGATAGACAATCTGTCAACCAAAATGCTGCAGGATTTGGCTACAATGAAGATACTGATTATCTGAGCCCTCAACCAGATAAGAACTTACCTTTTTATCAAAGTACACACAAACCTGTAGAAAATCAACGAAATTCAGGATCCTGGAATGTCCCTCCCGATAAATTAGCCTCAGGATTTGTGGAGCAAGCTAGCGGAGTGAATCCAAATGCAGAATGGAATGAAGATAAAAATGACCTAAGCAGTAAGTACTAGTTGAGAACGGTGTTGATTTAGTGAGGTGAACTCAACGCCAGTTTTAAACTATGACTTTATGCCTTAAATATCCTTGACAGAAGACTAACATTCCTTTCTTTTTTCAGCCGGTTCGTCACAATGGCAAGATACACTGGAAGGTAGTGGAAGGAACAATCAAGAATTAGTACCAAATCCGATACCAGAGGATTTGTCCCGGTTACAACCACCAATCCAAACGACAGTGCCACCTATACCTTCACGTGTTGAAAATGTCCCTGGAATCCTTCCGCATCCACCCCTTCCACCTCCTGAAGTATGGGTCCCAGCAAAACTAAGTCCCGGTCAACCTGCGTCACCTATATTGCTAATACGAGAGTATAGTGTAGAAGGACCACTCTACGGAAAAGAAGATATTACCTCACATCCTTATAATTCAGCATCTATTCAGTCACTGTTGTTCACGTCAATACTTTTACCTCTAATTACCTTGTTTTTCTTCTAAAACGATAACTTTACAGCTGCAGTTTTTTAATGTACATAGGCGCATTTAATAGCCTTTGCTCAAAATGTATTTAAACGTATCTTGTTAACATTTAAAAGTGCTTTAATCCTTTTCATATTCATTTGCACAACAGTAACTTAATCTTTGCATTTACTTCAGGTATTCTCATCGGTTTGACAATAAAAGCCTCACAAATGTGGTTGTTTCGGATGTATAAGATAGAAAAATGTCATAAAATAAAAAAAGTTTATTTGTTCTTTATATATGAGAAAAGGAAAAAGTCATCAACTCAGCATAATGTGACTAGATACTAATGTTTGTAAGAAAGTCTCTTGATGCTACTGCAGAAGCTTCATCTAGAGGAACCCATGGATTGCTTGAATCTGCAGTACATCGAAACTTTAGAGGACCATCTTTGAACCAAGTTAGGGAATTATGGTGGAAGAACATCAAACGATTTATAGCGGCTTGACCTTCAAAAAATGTCGGAGGTTCTTGATCAGGAGTTGTAGATTTAGCTCGCATTTGTTCAATCGACATATTCGGACTCACAGAACTTGGACGAACATATGCGAAAGGATTTACAAACAGAATACAGTTTTCAGGATCGAAAACGTTTGTTATTTCCCCTGAATACGGAGAATATAAGCGCGAAAGCCTCAAAGCGGGAACAGGTCCACGAGCTTTCCAGCCTATGCAAGCAGGGTTCAGTCTGTCTGGTATAATGTCGTAAAGAACACCCATTATAGCAGGGTATGTGTTCTGTGTAACAGTTTTTATGTTGTTCTCTGCAATACAGCATACTCCAAGTTCATAGGTGCAGTCATTGCAAACAAGTGACAAAAGTATCTCGTGTAGCATCGACCGGTACAGGTTTTGTGGATCTGGAAATCCTCCAACTATGTGGACTTTAGCGGTAGTAGCATTATCATTGGAAAACAAAAACTGTTCAGTATTCTTGAAGAATGACTTCACGCGCATTGCTGTGTCTAAATGTCCTATGCAGCATCTATTAGCACTGCGCAGGATAACAATGTAACAGGATGTTGCATCGTCAGAAGATACATATCTAGGAATATTATCACCCGTACTAGAGCTTTTGGTTGCATTCAACGATATAAGAGCCATCTCTCCTTGGTGCACATAGACCGAAGAAGAGCCATCTTGAACATTGACTGAATTTTTCCTTCTGAATTCTTCTGCAATACACTTAATGTGTGGGTTTGACAAGAACCATTCAGAAAATATCAACAATGACGACTTTTCACAATGATACTTCTGTCCGGCGAAAATAAGCACCATCTAGAATCCCACCTAACCTAAAAACTAACGTTGAACACATTATAAGTAGCAAATTTATCAGCTTAAAGTTTAAAAAAAAATGAAAGTTGGCACTAGCTTCGTTATATTTTAACAATGTACAAATTAGTCAAGTATACAAAATGATATGGTAGTATTTTCGAGATATAAACGCTGAACTATAATCTTAGTCTCGTATCACAACTGCAACAATATTGGAGGATTTACAAGAATAAACTGAGTGATATCTTTGGATATTTACATCTGAAAGCAAGGAAGTAGGACTTTTTGTACAAAAGTGGCCAAGTATTATCTTACACGAATGCGATAATTAAGACCAACCATTTACCTGGAAATGGTTTATTTTAGCAGATACTTGGTTCGATCTCCGCAAAATCATACCATTCTTTGAATTCGTATTTTTCAACATCCATGTTCGCCAATCATTCAGCAGTAGGTATAAACATGATTTTCTAAACCTTAAAGCTTCAGACATCAACATTGAAACCACAGCATCTCTTTGTCCAGTGGAACCTGTAAGTTCATTCATTCGATCGAATAGAACTACTGTGTCTATAAAGAAAAATAATTTGACGTTAGAGATTGTATAGGCAAATAAGGTGAAAAACTATTTGCAAATATACTTACTGGCACAAGGTTGCCTGACAATATTAATTAATTCACGCATGATCTCTTTGTTAAATTTGAACATTTCCAACGACGAACTTGTCTTCGCTTTTAAACTCGGAGTTTCACACATAGTTTGATTATTAGAACTTGGTGAGACTTGAGAAACTGGTGGAGAATCGTTAATATATACAGGAGATGAAACGTCATTTAATATTACATCGGAAAGTTCTCCAGATCTGGGTGATGAAGCTGGGGATGATTTGGGTGAGTAAAGTCGCCAGTTACGATGATTTATGTAGTGGGGTAAAGGACCTAAGAAAATGTATTTAAACAAATTTCTTCTTACCTTTGACTCTCATTTGAGGACTTTTTATAACTTGTGAACACTTTTTGCGTCCAGGGCTAACCAAGGAAGCGTTTGGGTTACAAGAATTTACATTAAGTGAGTCCATTTCGTCAACGAAACCTTCATCGGCGATGAAAGATGAAGACTTTCGACGGAATGGATTTCCAAATGTATCTGAGCGTTCAGGAGTAGGATTAATCTCTCTAAGTGGAGCTTCTGTTTCCCTGGAACTTCTGTAATTTACATAATCACCCATTAAGGCTACTGGTTGTTGATGGGTTAAGTCGTCAGATCGGTAGTTTACTCTCCCACTCAAAAGATTATCAAGATCTTGTCTCATTTTTCCCAAAACTATTCGAAGCTTGCATCTTGATATGTTACAAGGACGAAGACAAGCATTCAAAGGAAGCCGTCGAGGCTTGTTATACATAGATTTAAATTCTCGTAAAGGCCACAGCGGCAACGGCAACAAAGTGGAAGGTAGCTAAAAAAATCCAATCATAACTAAGAAATACTTACAGTTACTGATGGGTTTACGGTACAGTCACTTTGTGTCATACGTACAAAATTGTCATATTCAATCTTTGCTGTATGACGTAGTTTTTGTAAGGAATGTTTTAACTGATAAGGAAGTGCACGGTCGATTGCTTCTGGTTTGATCATACCTGCAAAACCTATTCTTTCAAATGACTTTGACAATGGCTTTAAAAATTAAAAGACTATGAAAAAATTTACCATAAAATAATATTTCGGGATGCTGCTAAGATAATTTATAAACTGATGTCCCCAGGTATCTGTCATCCGCTTATTATCCCAAATATCACCTAAAAAAAGTTCAAACATATTTAACGCAACCTACCAAGTAACTGTAAGAAAACAGGATAATTGAAAGGGAGGACATGTAAATGTACCGACTGTAAGTCGCTGGATGCTTTTAAGTAACCGAAAGGAGAATTTTGATTTTTCTTGATGTCGCAGCTAAAACAACGCCACACCATGTTTTGTTCCGATGAGTTCAGTAACTCTTTTGTAAGCTGAGATGGTGACAGTTCATACCGATCTATAGGAAAAAACTCAGGTAATACAGGTTCTGCGACAGCAACCTTCGATACGAGAATTTCAGGGTGAGCGGTCCTTGTTGGCTTTAATGGAAATATAATATAAGGCTTTGCTTACCAGTTGGGATGCAACCATTTCTTCTTCAGCCCAGAATGGTTCTGGAATTGGCCAGGATGATACTCGTCCCATTAGTTTTACTATCATTAACTGCTTGGTATACCTCTCCTTATAATCATCAACATCCTCATTTGACTTTTGTATTTTTAATACTACAGCCGGTTGGCACTTTGTGACTAGTGACTCTAGACATTGGTGGAGTTCTCGACCGTCGTATAGATCAAAGTTTTCACCACCAGTTTCTTCGGCAAACCTTTTCAATGGTGATTCTAATTGCGGTCTTGGAAAATTACCACCACACATATTACTGACAAAGGCCGGGTAACGCAACACAACTGAATAAAGACGATAATCCCAACGATAAGGATCTTTAGTCAAAACAGTACCAAGAACAGCAGATTCTACTGAAGCCATAGAGGCATCCTATTTGTTTTGTAATAAAAAACAACAATCGACTTACATTAATTACGTTTTCATTCAAAGTGCATGCACTAATGCTACCTGTAATACAAATTACTACAGCAGGTTCAATACATGATGGGTATATCCCCTTAAAAAACATTAAATAAAAATTTATGGATACCATTCCATAATTCTCCAATCCCAGTTGTAATCTGTTGATATTAAGCATACGAAATGTCCGTTGTATTCCTGTTGATAAATCAATTTGTCCATCAGGTTTAATGTTATTTAAAGCAGAATGTAGTAAATGTATGTCAACGTTTTGTTTCCAACCAGTAAGCTGTGATTTGTACGCAAATGAAATATTAATTCCAACATACTTTGATATAATTTGGCTCAGAATTTAAAGTGAGGACAAAATAACGATCTACTCTAGATTTACTCATTCTAATCTATCAACAACAACAATTACGTAAGCATAGTTAACAAACTTTGAAGAAAACTTCCGTAGCAGATTTAGCTACATCCAGTAACGTTGTACCTTGAAATGTGCGCTGGTTCATAGCTGCGCTGTTGTCAAGCAGAAAAACAATTATTGTCATTGCTAAATTCTCAAGGTCATCCAATTCGCAACAACCAATCAGCCACGCCAGTCTAACTTGCATACAACACTACTAGTCGCTCTCACTGACCTGTATGGCTGGAGAAGCAATATATATTGTTTTTAATCCACGTAGGAGTGATGTGATTGGTCGAAATATTTGATGGAGGCTCATAGTGAGACACTTCAATTATTCATCGAATTTATATTGTTAAACATGAATTTTTTGTAATTTAAGGGTATTAAAATTTAGAAAATTAGACTATTATGACATGCTACTGCAAAAATCACGTCCGGTGATATGTTTGAATGCATATATCGAGTTTTTACGATTTGCTCAAGATGAGCCTCCAGTGAATGAATAAAGCACAATAATTCCTGATTGTTTCTGTTCCTCACTAAATAGTTTCTATTAATTACAAAGAAATGTTAAACTTGACTTTTTTATAGATTGGATTGAAGATTGACTATCTGTTCCTTTGAACGTATGTCGGGAAACTTTTTTAACTAGTAATAGTAGACTGGCTGATATTGTGAAAGTTGTATAATACGTAGTATATTAATGTGTTTTCGTCACACTTTTATGATAACCCATTGCATTTACTATTTCTGTTTATCTTCGGTAAATTTATCAGTGTTCACTCGTTTTTATAGGTTTTTCCAGTCTTTTTAGATCAAGTATTAATAATCTGTTAGCCTACCAAGAAATTTATATAATCGCTTCGAAATTTTTAAATTCCCTCTTTTCTCAGATAACCAAATCACTTTATTTTCTGTATTATATATTTTCAGCTTGTGGTCATTCGACCCCTCTTGCATTTCATTTTTGATGCTCTTAAGTATTCCAAAGTAGTCGCTATCTTCTCGGAATTTTCTTACCCTGATGCCAATATGGTAAAATATTTAATTCTATCTCGGAAATTATACTACGTGCTATCAGTAAGTAGTATGGTTTTATCTGTTAAATAGCGCTCTGTATATACACCAAAGCAGTATCTTTGAGAAAAGTAAGTCGAAATACAGCTTTTTCGGGTATCAGTGGCGCAATGGTTAACGAGCTCGCTCGCCTTGCTACCAGAAGGTCCTGGATTTGAATCCTAGAGATGGCTGCGTACTGGCAGAGAGTTCCAAACTTGGACGAAATACCTCTCCAGTACTCCCGCGTTTTTTCAGTGGTTCCCTAACTGACGTCAATCCCTGGTCAAACTCGAAACAAATCAAATCCATACAAAAAGCCTTCGAAAACTACTCATATTCATCAGTAGTATATGACATAATTTTATTTTGCTTACTATCATTTTGCAGTCTCAAATAAATCACACAATGTAATTTTTAATATTTTTGATTGACAAAGGAAACGGTGGTGAATTCCAACTCCTCCAGAATTCGGTAATGTATAAATGACAAAAACATTTGATTGATTATTCGAATTGAAATAAGAATAAATCACAGGAGTAGTGAGACAAGTGAAATTCTTATTTTTATCAGTCTGCTCAACTATACAACCCTAAATAGCATAAATTTATTCAATAATAACATTCAAGCTATTAATGTTGTATCACTATGTGTAATAGCAAATAAACTTTAATATGGATGTATAAAAGACTATGGGTGATCCTTACTTCTTTATAATACTATTTTTCTTTATATTTTGTGTAACAGAAGCCGATTTCGTTCCAAAAATGTTGCTGAAACTAAAACTTCTACACTAACTATTGCATGTAAACCTTTGTAAATTACCCAACTTATTATGTAACTGTTAGCTAAGGTTCCTTTGTTTTCATAATTGTTCTAGAGGTATTTAATTGGTAGAAAAATCTCTTTTCTAGAAGTATGATATATATAACTATACACACATTAGTTCATTTGTAAGCATCATTAAAAAGCCCACTGGTTATTATTATAGATGAAAATTCAAATCATATTTTGATTGATCTACGCAGTAGGTCAGAATGTTCACATTTGCATAGTATGTCGTTTGTTCAAAGTATATCTTCTGCTTCGAATGTAATTTTTCTTTTCGCATTGTTTATGGTGTTTTAATAGCACTGTGGTAATTTAATCGCTTTATTTTTTATTAGTATAAGCTCAAAAAGAAGTGGTCATGGGAACAAATGAATGTTATCTCTAAGTCCTATTTCCATTGGTAATGAATAATATTCATGATAATTTGCTTTATTCCAGAACAGTACTAATGATACAGCGTGGAACTAGATGGTTGGAGGCAATCGGTCACAGGAAGCCTTGGACCTAGGTTTCGTGCTAGTTAGCACTCATCAGCAAAGCGTATCTGCAACCTTGAAGGAACTCATGTCCCTTCTGAGATTCGAACCCGCGTCACCCAGTGCTGCAGTGAGAGACGTTACCACTGAGCTATTCAGGCTCTTGATTAACTTCCTATAGGACTGTATTGGATATTTTTGATTTTGACAAACCTAATGTACACTCCTTAACTAACATCTAATCTTTCTAAGCATGTCTATATTACGTAACCCTACTCACATCTTACCAATCTTCACCCCACTTAGTTACAACTTTGATTATTAATCACACATTTTAATTTCTTAATTATTTTGATGATGTAATCAACAACCCACACTAACTGTTATTTTGATTTTGACAAACCTAATGTACACACACACACACACACAAAATTAATTGTATATATTTGCGACTGTACAGCTAAGTGAATGAATTCGCCGAAAAGAGACTCTTTGCTGAACTAATTTGTTCTTATTTTTGATTGCAAACTAGTCAGTAACTAGTGTAATGTGTCTGGTCCTATCTTCGGTGTAGATTGAATTCTGTCAGTCAAGCTTGCAATGTGGCCACCATGCGTGGAATTCTCAGCAGTTGGTAATATATTGAATCTAATTTACTCGACAACAGCAACAGCAAAAACCATTGGTGTATAGGTAACCAGAATTGATAATAGCAGCTGTTTGATATTATTGATCATTTTATTTTATTCCTTTGTGCTCTTAGTGGAACATAGAGCTTCAAGCTAGAGGCTTGAAGTTTCGGTAGCAGTAGTATTTATTATTATGAGATGGGGTTGCTAGCCTTATGCCCAGCCTTCCCTCTTTACTAGTCTTATCACTGGCTCAGTGAGGTAAAGGGGTTTATCGGTCGGGGGTGGAACCCCGATCCACTTACGTGGTTGGCCAGCATTCTACTGCTGTGCCACCGTCGCACTGTTTGATAGTGGCAGTGACATTTAAGTCAAATATGTACAAAAAGTGTAAAATAATGATAATAATAATGATAATAGTGTTAACAACTAAAATTATAAAATAATTAAAATAGTGTCACCATAAATTGCAAACAGAAGAAGGTAAAAGGGCTAACTGTTTTGCTAATTACACAGTAAGTTATATCACATTGAACACGGGCTGGTCAAATACAATATCGTTGAGTTTTTGCACTTGCTTATGTGATCGAGCATATTTTATTTTTATTTTTTTATCTATTTTTTTAATATTTTTGATTACAGCTTGATGCCACACCGTATGGAATTTTCAGCATGGATATCGGTAGCCCAAATTTTGCAGGCCGACCATAGATATCGGATGTGCGTTGGCAGGGGATCGAACCCCGGACCATGTGCATAGTCGACGAGAGTCCTAACCACTATGGGACCGACTTCTAGTCTTACCTGATGAGATTCAAGAGAAAGGAGTAGCGTTGAGAATAGAGAGGGTGTTGAGAGTCAGACAATATGGAATTAGACCATTCCACACATGAGTTCAGGTGTCTGTCGACTACAGTTGTAACGAGTTGACTTAGTGGCACACTACTTGCTCTACAGACAATCTTTAATACCTTCCACGATATGAAATAGTCCTTTTAGAGTAGTCCAGGAAAAACTAAGACGGAGCAATAAACAACAATAAGTAAGATGCAAGAGTTAACAAATTGTAAAAAATATAGGTTGACTGATTCCTGACTGTCTTAACTTCTTTAAGTAGCAGGTTAGAAAGAACACTTTCTTAGAAATCGACAATATATGAGATGACTGAATTAATGTTCGCGTTTAAACAGTCGTTTCTGCGTCACAGTGACGTATTCACATACACACAGAAGATATGTAAATTATAGTTGTGTGTTTTTTTAAAACAAAACAAAGTAATTACTTTATCATTAGAGAAAGTATTAAACTATGATTAAATCAAGTTAAATAACAACTATAACCGACTGGATAAAACTTTGGTTACTTATTTTCGCCTTAACTTGAAACAAATCATAATTTATCCTCAACTTCGCAATCTATTTTATTAGCATTTATTTGACCTTATTTTTCAGATGATCATCTATGCACATAGATCATGTTAATTGATCTTTTAATGCCTTGACAGGTTAAGTGAAACTTTAAGTATACTTTTAAGTGTTGTGGAAACCGAAATATTGACTAGCCGATGACATTCAAGGATATGACTATTTAGACATGTCCCTGGTATTTGAAATTTATTCTGTACAGTGTCTTCTCCTTTATTTAAGAAGGATTTATGGGTTTTAAGAATTTATTTGGGAATGTAATAGAAGTTTCGACTATCAGCTTATTAGCCCTGATTTTGCCTAATCGGCTCAGATAAATCAAAACCAGTCCGGACAAGTTTAAAGCATAGTGCCAAAGCAAGATATTTATTATAAGGCGATTGGATAACCTAGGAGCCCGACTGTGTACAACCAATTTAATTAGTTATTTATTGCCTGAACTTTCTGAGGTACGTAATACTCGTACATTAAGTATTTTTCTATAATAAAAATCTACTTTTTTTTCTCACTGGCTGGAAGCAATCTGTCCCATAGATTTATTTACGTGTGCACCTAGGATACAGTGGTAATTAGATATTAATATTGATATACAGTCCTTCAGATATGTTACTTATTGCCTTCCGAAAATCAGTACTAATATCTAATCATCTCTGACCCTTGGAACCCACGTGAATATAAAAACGTAGAATGGTTCGAGCTGGTGAGAACAAGTCGACCTTCGGTATACAAAATTACATTACATACAAGTATTACGTACTTTGGAAAGTTAAGCTAACAAATAACCAATTATGTTGGTTGCACAAGGTCGGGTCTCCAGGCTGTTCAATGGCTTTATAATCAATATTCTTCCTAGGTTCAATG